ATCGATACAAATGGAAGCACTTTAAATGTACAAGCAAAAATAATTTTTTCGTCTTTCAGGAATATTGAAAGTCAAACATTTTTATACTGCGGAAAATTTTGACTGGACCTAAATTGGCTTCTGACATATTGAAATATTTTGTTTGTTCCGTGACTACAACGACTTTCATTATTCATCACCTAGTTTTGCGGGAGTAAACTTTTCCAATGTGAATAATTCCTAATTTTCTATTTTGTCCCGTGAGAGTTTTAGAATGTGAGGACCGTACGCTATTTACAGATTTGTCACGAAGATTACTCTAAATTTTCAGATTTGTTTAGTGTACCTTCTGCACAATAACATACGAATACAAATATTTTATGGAAATATGTACCTGCGAAGACTTCTTGTGAATAAATGGACGAATTTCTTACATAAGACGGATGCAACCATGGCAAAAAATATGCACGTGACAAAGTCCTGTAGCCCTCCTTCCAAAATCATCTAGCAATTAGGAAATCTAATTATTATTTGCAAGGAAGGGAAGGAATGGGTTAAACGAACCGTGATCAACAATGAAAATGGTCTAATCAAAAAACTGCTGGATAATTCTTATCGACTGTCAACTGTTTGATTGGATTAAGATTTTATCTGACAATATTAAGTTTGTGATAAAACATTGTCGTCCTACTTTATGCACGTAATTAATTGTGCACTATCAAACTTGCCAAAATTCAGTACGGTGGCAATATTTATGCTTCCGATAATCAATAAAGGATAACATGCTTAACATATATGTATGTTGCATTATATAACAAGTGATCTAGTTGAGTGGGACAGATTTTCAGTACAACCTGTGTCGTAATAAATAGACACAAGACTGATAGAAGCAAATTTGCTTTCTTCGTCGGGAATAAAAAATAAAATAATCTATGCAGCATTATTTCAATTTAAACACTTTCCTTTGCGCACATTTATTTATAATAAATAAAACTAATTAAGAATAGTTATAAAACCATCCTCTGATAATATTTTACTTCTTTTTAAGTTGTTTTCACGAATATTGAACATCTTTTTCCACACTGAGGGTCTGAGTATTGGATGCACCTGAGTTGTTCTTTGATTTTATTCCAATTGTTCAACTAATTCTTGCTGTACAGTTTCTTAATTGTTTCAGAACAAACAGTAATGTGGAACATGCTTTACACATATAAACAAATTCCTGGGATAGTTTGGATTCTGATTAGCAAACTTAGGACCAAGTGGCTACATCAATAGGGCTGAGAATGTGCCAAAGGTTGGGATATAAAATTTTTATGTTCTCATAAAACGTGTGATTATGTGATACTAAAAGCAGTTCTTCGTCCTTATCCACTTTGTTTGCCAGCTAGTGCTCTAAATATTTGATATAATGCGACATTTTCCAGAATTAGTTCTCTTCCTGGTTTTTATCATCATTTGGTCTTCTATAATTGAGCACATGGACATACATAATTGCAACAAGCCTTACATATTTCATGACAATAAAGAAATGTCAGGTTCAATTAGAGAACGTTTACCAAAACAAGATAAGCACATGATATGTTCGAATATGTGTGTACATATGTGCATAACATGTATGTCAGCGTATTTAATGCGCATTGTACTTATTGAATCAAGTTGATACCAACTTCCGTGTGTTTTAGAACTATGACAATAATCATATTGGAAAACTTAGGCTGTTGAAACATTATTTTTTCAAGATTCCCCTTAAAGTTTGCATTTAGAGTTTCTACAACATATTGACCCAGAGCGTTAATTTTTTTGATACTCATAAAATCCAGACATTATTTCAATCTGCCGGAGAGAATGCTATGCATTTATTAATCCCCAGTTAAATAAATGGAATGCGGAAATTGTCCACATGTGCACTTTATCACCAAACGATATTTGATCCGAGAAAATTGCAGCGTACGAATGTGCAGTTATGGTGTAATGGTTATTAAATGCGAGGGCTAATGGAGCCATAACTGTCTCCTTGGCCTTTCCCCCAAGTTATTTACTGAACATTCTCACATATTAATATAACTTTTGTGGGATGGCGAAATTGCAAAGAAAACGGTGGGCATTTTTCTTGGGTGAAATTATTACCTAGTTTGGCACGTATACTGGCTGAGTTTATAATGAATACAAAATAATGACACGGCGTGGCAGTTGAGACGCGAGTGCAGAAAAGGGCAATAAGCCACCCCCCGTTAAGTGTAAGCTATATAAATGCATTTTCCAGGCTTGTTGGATTTCGGCCCACTCCAAGAAGACTTGAGAGTATCGTGTGTAGCAATAACCCGGATGAATATGGACTCAATGGGTCGTGAATTAGTATTTCATCGTCATCATCATTCTTGGCTCACATCCACTTCAACATGTTTGAGAAAAACCAATAATTATTTGCTATCTACGCGTCCCTGCAGGGTTGCACAATGTGCTCCGAAGTGTGTGGAGGCAGATAACGACGGCTCTGGGAGGCTTTTTAGGCATGAGATGAGATGCAGATGATGGAGACAAGCAAGGTCAGGGTGGAGAATGTGCCGCCAGTAAAAAAGGGGACTTTTTGTAATCATGCAGAGAACAAGGCTGAGATGATGTGAGACGCAGCCAGGCCATGGCGTCATTTATCAGTCATAAAAGCAAATTGAGTGAAAATAGGAATTACTTAATAGAGGAAGATTGGCACATATGGTCAGCTATTGTTTTATGAGGGGGTCGTAAAAAAGGTCCCGACTTTTTATGTGCATTCTTCTTTTAATAATGCACGAAAAGACGGACTTAGAGATTGGAGTGTGGAGGAGTGAGTGTGCATAAGGCCAATTTTGTTGAGATAGTGGCTGCACTGCTAGATTATCATTTACTTTAAGTTGTTGACAGATAAATTTTTTCACAACTTTAGAATTTTGCGAAGTCAATATGATCACAACTGTCGTGTTTATTTTATGCATTTTATGCATTTGTAGATTTAGTGGTACATACATACATAAAATGTAACTTGTGTTAAAAAATTGAAAATGAGCATCCAAAGGAAACTGGTATGGCATTATCAACAGTCAACATTATTTAATCAAAAATGTTTGTCCAAAAATATCTATGTTAATCCCGCTTTTGAAAATGTTAGGTAAACATTTGCTTATTTTCTTTAATGAGGTTGTCCTTGGAGGTTATTTATCAACAAAGGGCATGTTGCAGATGGTCATTGGATTATACACTCGAAAACGTCATGGTCAGTGTTCCAAGTCTGCGGAGGACAGACTCAGCATTGGCTGAGCAATTAATTCTGATGGATAAATAATTTGTTAATCCTCCAACTCCCTCAATCCCGAGAGAGCAAACTGTTGATCGCACAAGACATTTATTTCCATTGCCTCCCAATTCTGGAGAGATTTTAGTTTACTCGCAGTAACTTTGCTTTTCATATAAATTTAGTCCGATTAGAGCTCCCAGCCTACAAGAGCGTATTTATTATTAGATATTTGAATATTAATATCCTAAATTGAAAACATGTTTTCATCCCTGGAGCAAATATGGTGAAAGTCATGTCACGCATTTATATTTCATTATTGACTGACAGTCCCAAAGGCTAAAGCATCATCCAACTAGACAAGCTACTGATAGATCACGATTACTAAAGCCAGATCACTTTGTCCAACAAAGAAAACACAACAACAATAACATCCGGAAAAACCATTTTCACTTCCCATGAACCAGGGGCTGTACATTCCATTTATTTACAGCAGTCGTCGACAATGATGTGGTCTGACCAACTGGACGAATATCCATATAAAAGGATTTAGGCCTGCGTCAAATTCGGAGTAATTGGTCAAGTCAGCCGAAACAGCAGATCCACCCACTCTGAGCAGTGACAAGAAAATTGTCGTCGTCGTCGCCAATTGTCCATCCACCCATCATAAAATTTTATTTTACTTTATTTCGGGCATCTGCCCAAACAAATATTTACTCAAACTCAAAGTTCATCCAAGTGAAAAATTAAATGCGACCACGGATGTTGGAAATCTCATGCATCGTACGTATGCTTCTTATCCACAATTTTGCGACTATTTTCTACGCCTCATTTATTCTGGTCTAGAGATGCAAATTGCGGAATCAGTTACCATTGTTCTTGTGCAAAATATTTGCGTGGAATTAAGTATTATTCTAGGAAGGATCGCTCCGAGGGGATATGACTAAATCAGATGTGCACACTTGCGTGGTGAGGATGATAAGATCAGAATATCATTCATAATCACGAATGGATTTCCCCATTTTATTCATTCGTGTCGAGCGAGTCGTGTGTGGGTGAAAGCAGCTTTCTCGTGAATAACGTGGCATCTTGAAAATCCATTTTATCCACAGGTTGGGTCCTTGTCCTCATTCTGCGCTTATTTCATATGTATACACTCGATCAGTTGCCATTGAGAGCATGTGTATTGACGTTGTGCATATTATGCAAGGCACGTGTTGTCCAATCTTGTCCACATTTTATGCAAGCGAGACTCTGAGGACCGAGAGTGTGAAAATAATGCCTGTGCATACATCAGATTACTCCTGCCCCTGGTCTTATCAATTTCATGAGTGTGGACGACGAAGAGAAAGCAGAGCCAATCAAATATAATCTGAAATTTAATATGCGGTTTTGGCTCGTTCATGCGTAGCCCTGAACGGAAGTCAACCACATGACATGACCAACGAACAAAGTGTATCTGTACAGAAAAGCTTGCATAATTTACCATGTGGAAAAAGACGAAAGAGAAATTCCAATTGAATTTTTGTATCGAGTAGGTATGCATGGAGTCTGAACATGTGGATGCAAATGGACATGGAGATTGATCCCTACAAATGCAATCTCGACTTCATGGCACAATTTTCGCTTTGTGGTCAAACTCTCATCGTCCGAATGATGTGATTAAACTGGTTGCTTGCGTGACTAAAAGAATTCAATTATTGTCAACCTGATCTATTTACATATCTATGTAGAGACATACGCAATTGGGTCTTCGTAATTGTTGATTGTAACAGGTTTATATACAGGTTCGTATAAATATTCGTCAGGTTAAAAGTTCAAAAATTGTAATAACAAATAACAATAGTTTTATACTTCATTAGAAAATATATCAGAACTAGCAATAAATTCACTGTTGTCATCCAGTCGTGTTTGGCAGGAACAAACTGATTTTTTGGGCAAAATTATTGGTTCGTCATCCACTGCAGTGCACCACCAATCAAATTCCTGTGCGGTGCAACACAACGTAGAACTTGACACACAAGAGGCACCTTCAAGTTTAACATGATCATCGCCCTTGTTCAGAAATACTGTGATACTTGTATTGTTTATCTTGTCAGCAAATTTAAGACATAGCTGCTCCTCTTGCGAATTCGACGAGGAAATCGGATCAAGGCGTATTTTGCAGTCCTTGATATACTTATCCCCACCGAAACTGGCCTTAGTAAAGTGTTTATAGATGTGGTACGTTTTCGGGTAGTAGAACACATGGTCTCCAGCCAGCGTCGAGTTTTCGCTAAAATTTCCCCAAATTAAACTTTCTCCAGAGTCGCTGTCCGTATACATTGACCAAAAATAGTAGCGTTGAACGCAACTGGTTCCTACGAAATTTACGATGTTTGTAGCAAGGTCGAGTCCTTCTTTGAGCTGATTGGCGACTGTGGGAAGCCGTGGAAAGGTCGAACTCACTTCCGTCAGCCAAATTGGCTTGGAAGTGAAGCGAGAATACTTCCCAGGATCATAATACGCGTAGAGCCGATATGGAGACCAATAATCTGACACAAGGAACGCACATTTTTTTTAGTATCAAAAACTATAACGATAATTAAGTATCTACGTACCAATGTCTAAGGTGTATCCATGGGTCGCAAACGTGTCGCAACTATCTCGACAACTAATCCCAGATTCCTCATCAGTGTAATTGGCGTATAGTTCAGACATCCAATAGTAGGAATTTTCGGGGCATAGCGACACCAAAGAATCATTCATTGCTTTCACCATGCGGCACAACTGCCAAAAGATATTCATTTAATTAGATCAAAAAATATGTAGTCGCAATTGAATGAAGCAATCTCATTTTCCATTAAAATAAACGAACCTGGCTGGGCATCATATTTGTATGTTCCCAACTGGCCACAATATTTTCGGGCTCATTCACTGGCGATACTTTTTCAATTTGGAGGCCCTATAAATTAAATTACTTGCTAAAACCGTGTCACAATTTAAAAGATAATTCGCCAAAGTTGGTTCTTACGTTAAACTGTTGTTTAATTATTTCTGTGATATTTTTGATGAAATAGTAAAAATCTTGCTCATGAGATTCCTTTAAGGTGTTCAGGATTGGATTTTTCATGTAATGGGGTGGACTCCAAATGGATGCAATTACAGAAATTTTATCATTTTCCTTGTCATACTTTGAAATCGTGTCCAAAAGTTGAATCCAGGTACATGCAAAACGTGAGAGTGAACAGGAAATTGTGTAGTTGTTGGGTTCGGGTGAAAACTGAGATTCATACGAAATCCGGTAATGTCTAGATAACAAAGTAGAAGGTTTGCTCTGAATTCAAGTTAGACATCTTTGTTGACTTGTATATATTTTAGCAATCAATATGCTATTCATTTCCGAAGTCAAGATCTCATGGGTCTAATGTTCTACATATCGACACGTAACTGACCACAGCACACAGCAGTGGAACTTCTTGCATGCATTTTGTCCTAGACTGCAATCAAGAAGACTGCTATTGAATTACATAACCTTGCAATGTGGGACAATCCCGACAATGTTCTGACCTAACTAACAAACCAACTTACTTACTAACAGAAATCGGGTTGGTGGATCGATAAGAGTAAATGAATTCCGGGTTGTTGTTCTGTTATCCAACTGTATGACCACAATCCTCACTAAAATGCTATACATTACTCTGCAAGGTCCAACCAACAGCTTCTCCTTTATGAGTTTCACCACTATGCTTACTTTACAGGCTAGACCGATTAGAAGATTTTTACCAGGTACATATGTGGCTTTAAAAGAAAAGTTTAAATGATACCATTTTTGCCACTTTATAACGCTAAATATGCATATATTTATAGAAATTCGTCAACTTTTAACAAAACCCAGATAAATAAAATAGTCCGCTTTTGAGGTGAATCGCAAATAATGTCCGTCCATACCTAATGCCCAAGTCGGAGTAGACTCGATCAACAACTTGGTCAACGGTGTCCTTGGGGGAACTGGCAAAGTGGCCGACAGCGCCTGTGAAATAAAGAAAAGAAATTCTGTCTGAATGCATTAAAGTTTTGGATGCTGCACGGCCACGTGACCTGTGCTAACGCAATGCTCTGTGTAAATAAGCAGTTCGGTATTTAATTTGTATTAAGACTGAGTTACATTTTACTAAAAAAACCTACTCCAAGCAACTTTGCGGGGCCTTTTAAGATGGCATTAATACCATCTTGGTAGTTAAGGGCAACACATTTGGGTGGAAAAGACCCCCACCGGCCAACCACTTGACCGATCATGCCCATCTTCGAACTCATCCTTACTTTTTACCCTAAGATCAAGTGTACAAAATTTCAAGTCGATAGAATGTGTTTAAAGAGAGTTATCGTGCGTACAGACAGACGGACGGACAGACAGACATCCTGACAAATCTATAAGGCCATCTTAAAAGGCCTAAAACGAACTCTGAATTTCAAGTAATTTGGGTTTCTAAAGAAATTGTGGTTTGAAGTTTGCCTTGAGAATTTTCATCTGCACGTTGTACTCACCGAGAAAGACACCAAATCCTTGAAATGGTGGTAACGAATCGTCACATGCCTTCGCCCATCCGCACGTCAAGACCACCACGGAGACGACAACAAGACTTATTTCCTGCCTTTTCCTTCCACCGCTGGATATTTTATACATTTCGAAATTGAAGGGAGAAAGGAATTTGTTTGTCGAGTCGGTCGAGGAGATGGATCTCGTAATGGAAATGGAACTGATCTTTCCCTCCGGGGCTTTAACTTTGCTGCCACACTCGCCACCTCAACTTTCCGACGCACAAAGTTTCCTTCGCTTTGTGGCTAACACAATCTTTAATAAATATTTCAACTCGTGAAATCTACATGGGATTTAAATTCATTAAATTGTAGTGACTACGACTAGATTTATTGCCACATGGGAAGAGACAAGTTTGGGTTAGACTAATTATTTTCGCCACAATGTCACTGCCCTTCGTCGTAAGTCTATAGGGAAAAGACCTTATCTGCCATTTGTAAGAATGGTTGCGCAACTTTATCTTCTTGAGCGTCAACCATAAGTTAATACATGTTCAAAAGGCTGAATGAATATTAAGTTAAGACTGTTTATGTGTGGTTATCTTATCAACTGGAAACGTAACTAACTAGGAACTGCCACTCACAATCAGTAACTCATTGAACTTGGATGAAAACTATATCTCCAGACCAGGCTTGCGTAACCTTAAATAAGAATATGACCGACCATATAACAGCTGGATTGAATATCTAAATATCTACAAACTAAAATATATATGCACTCCGTGATGGAATCAGTACTGGAGTCATGCGATAATGAGGCTGTGTGGAATTATAAGGGTTGAAAAATGGACCACAAAAAATGTTTGACTATTATTATTTATGTTGGTCTTCTGTAATAATACAAACATGAGCATTGGGTCATGTTGGGTAAACATGACACGAGAATTTTATAAAGCAAAGACTGATTTAACTTCATTTCGTGGCGTAGTTTGTGTGACATGAATGCATTGTTAGCATTGTATGGTGTATGTATGTATTTATCTGTATTTGTGTATGCACGGACACCAAAAAAGATGCGTCACATCAAATCGTACGATCATGTCAGGAGATGGATTTTTGTTGATCTTGATCGATAAAAGGAAAATATTATCATCACTGACACACATTTCTTATTTAAGACGATCAAGTAACAGGAAAGAGGCAGACTGTTTTTTAACTTTCATAAATTCATTTTTCTTTCAATTACAACTTACCATGATAAATGATAAATCACTCTTGCTTAACACCGCCTGAATTTTAGACACCTACACGAGTTGCACAATAGGCCGATTTAATGATACAGTGCATATTATTTCCCGTACTTTCTCCATCTCAATTTCACGCCTTTCCACTTAATCCTTCCGCAGATGAAACACTTTTCCATTATACTGTCCGTTCCACTTAAGTCAGTCTGTCAGTCGCACTCGTCTCATCCACCTCGAGGATCCGTCCACCAAGGCACGGCAAATATACATCCATTGAATTCACTTTTCCGAGTTGGAAAAGTTGATCAAAAGAATTTTTTAGTTTTCCAGAGGGACCTCCGCGTAAGAAAAAAGGAAGAACGACTCTTCAAACTTCAACTTCTTTCTTTCCCATCACTTTACGTCAACTTCAATAAATAAGCCAACAGGAAGGTCTACCTGCGTGTACTTTCCTTCGGCTATTGTAAATATAGGTCCGTCATTTTCGTTCGTTTTCCAAAATCAGAGAGGCAAAATTGGTTGCTTCTACATATAACCTTGTTTGGTACCAAAACTGGAACAAAAAATTCGATGGGGATGGAAAATCTACAAGAATATTGGAAACCTTCCCGGCTCGTAAAATATTAATGTGTCGAGTATCAAATTCAATTCATGGATAGATTGTGAGCACGACTAAATCGACCCATCCCTCGTCCGTGTCATCTTTACAACTTCAGCCACCGCAGTAAATCGCAATAGGTCATAAAATCCTGAGGCCCTCTCTCCACCGTACACATTCAGAGACAAACACGGTCTCATAAAGATGCCACCATCGGACGCCCCATGCCTTTTACCCAATCCGGCAGTGACATACATAAACATAAAAAAACATGGATAGGGTCCAACATCAACATGACAAAGTTGACTTTTGTCTTAAATTACATAAGTTTCATTTGTCTATGGCAGAATGAAAATCGTCTTCGTTGTACATTTTTTCTCTACTTTTCGTTTCTTAAAAAACCGATGCTGTCAAAACTTGTGCTTTTTAGTTGGGTTGAGAAGGATTCGTTCAAATACATCACTTTTGTAAAAAAAAATCTTAACTTTGCGTTCCCTGGGATTAATTTGTCCTGTTTTTGCGCACTCCTGTCCTGTCGCGGCTCAATTTCTGTAAAAATAATGTGATCATATATATTTATGTTATTTTTGGAAGAGTAGTTAACAACAAGTAGTTGGCTGAGGAGAAGCCAGTCATGCACAATTCCACATGACACTACATTTCCCCAAGAGTGAAACTTTTTTGTGTAAACTGAAAACTTTTTCTATCCACTTTCTTCACTACATTCTTGTCCCGTTGTAATTTTTTAAAGGATAATCCTAGTAAGAAATTCTTCCTATTGTAGTTTTTCTTTGTTTATAATGTCAAAAAAGTTTTCAAATTTTCGAGACATGTTTCCCTTTAAATTAAATCAAACAATTCTTTGACGAAATTGTCCATGTGAGCTCGAGAAGCATGAATTTTTGATATATTTAATTAAGACTATATATAATTAGATATTTACAAATATATACACCTTTGGCTAGCTGTTTCACCTAAGGGCGCAACGTCAATTTGGTAACCAAACTCATTTGGCAAATATCGGTCAAACGACTGGGTCCTATGAAAAATTTTTTTATCATGCATCTTGTTACATCTAGTGTGAATTTGCATCTTTACATCAAATTACAGGTTTCTCTTTCTCTAGACCATTTATAAGATTTGATAATCTCTTACATAACTTGTAAATACATATTATGAAAAATATAGATATATGTATATATTATGTAAGTATACATACATGTAAAAAATTTCAAGGCCATCAGATAAGTTTTGAGCGAGTTATCGCAATGCATGTGGATGGATATGACAGTTCGTAGGAGTGGCTCAAAATTTTCTTTAAATATCTTACCAACACGAAAATTCTCTTTAATGTGGTACGAACAAAAATCTCACGGCTTTTACATAATCCAAGAGTTTTAACAAGTCTCCCAAATTATGTTATATGGGTGGTACACTCAATACTGGATTTGTGAAGGTTGACGTGACGTGAGTACGAGTACGTGCGTCTTAAATATGTTCCTATGTAAGGTTAAAGCTTAAACGTAACTACAGCTTTGGAAAGAAAAATACCAACCAAAAGTTTTATTTCTTGACTATAAAGGTAAATCTTTATATTGAAGTCAATACACATCTAGACAAGGAATGATTACAAAGTCCAATTACATTTTTAATTGTTCATATACTCGCAATTTAACGAAATCCAATTTCACCAAATCAGCCATCAGTGCGTAAAATAAAATAAAAAGTCATTTTGGGTATAAAACTTTTACCATATCAAGTTTCTGCGTCGCAATTTTGCAATGTACAAACAACGAAATGGCGACTAGCAACTTCTAACGAGACACATTTTGTAACTGTCAATTAATAAGTTGCATAAATCATAAATTAGAAAATATGCTTCACGTCACCAGCACTGTCATTTGTTACTCAATCCTATTTGGCGCTGGCGTTGTATTTTTTTGCAGTTTTTTCGCTGCCATTCCGACAAGTTGCAAAAAAAGCTTTTCCGGTTGTGTGTACATAGATCCGCCAAGCACAAGCAAAGCTTTATGTAGTGGAGTAAAAGTGTTGACTCGCAATAAATCACGTCCCTTCTTGTCGGGCGTTGGATCGGTGGAAAATTAATCAAAGGAACGACATGTTTATGAGCAAGTCAGAGTTTACAACAGATCTGATAGAGTAGTGAAAAGTGGATTCTGATGTTCCCATATTTTTTCATGCGTAGACAAATTCTATTCATTATTAATATGAAAAAATGTTGCAAGCAGTTTCACGAGAGTGCAAATGCCTCATATTTTACTTCAGTCAACCTGATTTTGTTTAAAAAGCTCAACAAACGGACTGAATTTGGGCCACGCTTCCAATTTCAGGTCCATGAATAAATTCTCAACCAATTTGAAAACGGTTAGCAAATCCCTGCTGGAGACGAATGGAAAGAGGTAATCAAATCCAGAGCTCGTCAAGTAAAGTGAAATTAGGAGAAAGTTTTGTTGTAAACAGTAAATGTTAAGTTGTAACTGAGTGAAAGCCAAGAAGTTTGAGGGAAAACATTAAAAATTTATTTGCCCCGTCTCTCCAGATCAACCAGTGAAGAGTACAGTAGACCAACCAAAGTGCTTAAACAAAGTTGTTGCCATTGGGCTGAGGTCGCTCCCTGCATTAGAAAGTTGCTCTTGCAGCTTCCTGGTTGTGGTGGGTGCTCCTGAAAAGTGGCAAAAAGCGATAGCATGTAATATGTAATATATTTATTGTGTTTTTACTCTCGACTTGGTTTCTGCAAACATGGACAGAAAAAACATTGTGTAATATATTTTGATTGTTTGTTTTTATTTATTTTCAGGTGAGCTATGGCAGTTGTTGACCACATTTGCTAGCTAGCTTTCATTGTCGTCGCTAAACTACAACCGCTAAAATGGAGACGAATTCCATAGAAAGTTTCGAATCCTCCGATCTAATCCTGGGCGAGTCCGGGCTTGGAGTGGACAATGTTGGCGGTGGCAACATATCTCTGACCATGGACAGATCATTTACCACAAACTCGTCTCAAATGGAACAGCTACTGCAGCTGCATAGCGCAATGGCCAGGTGAAGCAATCCTTTGTTAGCTCCAGGTAAACAAATTCATAATATATGACTCGTTTAGGTTTAAGAATTACACGCTTCAAGCCAAATCTTGCGAACCGGACGACGCCGTGGACGTGTACTCAATGGCCACGACCTACAAGCAGTTTCATGGATACATCGCACTCACGGTTTGCATCTTTGGTGCCATTGCAAACCTTTTAATTATGGTCGTGTTGCGACGGAAGGAAATGCACACGCCGGTGAACCTGATGCTGTTCGCCCTGGCAATTGCTGATCTCTTAATCATGGTGGAATATATTCCATTCGCACTTCACATGTATTTAGTGGATCAAGATTTGGAGGACAAGTATTCGTATGCCTCCGCCGCGTTCGTCTTCTTCCATGTTCACTTTACACAAATACTTCATACAATTTCAATACAGTTGGTGAGTTGATATCATTTCCTTGACACTAACTTTAATATCATCTCATATTTATGCACATGAACGCAATAATTTTCAGACTCTGACAATGGCGATATGGCGTTATGCGGCCATCAAATGTTCGACCAGCTCAGTCACTTTTTGCACGTTTAAACGCTGCTACCAAGTCATATTTGCAGCTTATATCTGTCCCCTTTTCTTTTGTATTCTGAACTATCTCTACTTCCAAATTGTACCGAAAACAAAATATGTAACCTACGGACCACGACCATTCGACGAAATAGAAGGCAACGACGAGGAAAAGCTCCATATTTTCCAAACCGTTTGCAAATTTCTTCACATGCATTCTTGTTCCATAAAAAAGGTAAGTGGGAAAAGTGAGACGGTTATGAACCTACATACACATTGTACGTAATTATAATTTACTTTCTAATTTTTTCAGGTGGAGTTGTACATTGTGGAATCCTCGGATCTCGTGAAAGAATATCCAATTCTGCACACGATTCACTTTTGGACATTTTCGGTTCTCATCAAACTCATCCCTTGCGTCGTGCTGACCTTTTTCATGTGCTGGATGGTCAATGTAAGAAAGTTGTTTGAAGTCATTGGTTTCTTTTTGGTTTTTTATATTCCACTCGATTGCATCTCATCTCGATCTCAGCATTATTATTCACAAGTGGTCAAAAGTTTGGGAAAAGTTGCACGTCCATGGCCCGTTGAGCAGAGAGACTAGGACGCATCTGTACTTTATTACTTTATTACTTTGTTCCTCTTTCGTAATATTTCACCACTGTCCCAATTTCGTCCCAAGTGCGGAAATATTTCGGGTTTATTGGATGTTGAGGAACTGATACAGATCTTAAAGACTGAAACTAACTAGTAGTAGTCTCGTCTCCACGTGAAAGTGCAGAATAGGTTAGCTAACTGGACTGGGGTCACAAAATGGAATAGTTTGAGACAACAATATCATTTTAATCCTGTTATTGGTGCTTCCATTACATACATTTGTACATAAGTGGGTACGTAACATTGCGAGTATGTCGACCTGAACGCTCGAGAAATCCAGATATTAAAAAATATAAAAGTTACCTCGTCTGGGCCATGTCCCATTTTCGGTTTTACTTTCAGCCCGTAATAGCCAGCAAGATTTTATTGGCCGAGCATTGGTCACTGCGTATGGTCACTGACTGCGGCTGCTTTCATCCTATCCTCACTCCCATCTCGACATTTATCCCAACATCCAACCCAGCGGGCTGGAAGGGAACGCAAATAAATGGAAAGGTTCTGTTCTGTGCTCTCTATCTCCTGTAGGAATTTGGCAAACCAAGTGGAAAATGTATGGTCACTCTGTAATCAGACCAACCACTCTCTCTCTTCGAAGGAAATTGCACTACCTCAATTCCGTCTCTGTCTGTTCAGTTCAATCAATTTCCAACAACAAAAAATCGAACCAAATTCCAACATCAACCAAATTTGTCCTATGTGTTTGTGTGCGTGGGCAGTGCGACAAGACCTGGCAAATTCTTTTGACTGAAACGTGGAAACATTTAACGATTCCTTCTCCTTTGTCATGCCCAATCCGGAAATATCCGATTTATGGTATTGGGAAACGGAGAAGGAAATGAGTGGGATCACTCCTGAGAGACAAATTATGGTGGTTGTTGCTGATGGGTTTGTGGTCCTAAAGTAAACAGGCTTTTCTTCTTCTCTCGCCGTGTTCACATTCTGTGTCATCGTGATGACCTAAAGTGGGAAAAAGTCTCTCAAGGATCATCAAGTAAAATGTCAGTTCAGTTCAGCCAGGCGGCAAAACCAAAGCTGCATCATTATTGCACTCCACCTCGTCTTCAGACCTTGTGCTTGTCATGTGGGTGAAAAGTACTCGAATTGCATTCATCTCGGTCTCGAAACCCATCATAGCTTATCTTTTCTTATCGGCCGAGACATCAATCCTAATGGTGGACACGTGTTCTTATTACTCGCGGATGGATGAGAGGATCCCACTAACGAAAGGTGTCATCGCAGCGTTGTAGCAGAGGTGGGGAAAGTCGACTGCAGCGTTTCATGCCTTCTCTCTTTTTCCTTTGAGGGCGCAATTTGTCACAAAGATGAAGAGAACGAGCAAATAACAACGAGCCGATCGAATATTGAAGATTGCTTGTTTTACGATCGGGACACTCTTGCTAGATTTTACTAGTCAAGGAAAGCAGGCAATTGTTGTGCTGATTTTTTTGCACGTGGACTTTGGTTCATTCATCGTTTGTGTTTTTGTCTTTTCTTACACAACGGATAGGAAATTGGTCATCATCCTCGGGTTTTCTCCTCACCACTGCAACCCAGGCAAAACTTGTTTCCATGTGGCACACGCCTGTGATTTCCTTTATGACCCGTATATCGTTCCTGATGGGACCTCTGTAGCTTTGAATACAAGGAAAATACAGTTGAACCTTAATGACTCCTCCATTCCTCTGGTTCCTGTAGTTCATGAGCACACTTTAATGTTGCAATTGACCTGCTGTATTCTGAACCGGGTTCTGAGTCGTATGGGCATTTTGCTCACAGTTCTACAATGTTTTTTAAGGGACTAAATCCGTGTTGTGGTTCACATCGTAGTTTCACTTTCTTATGCGATACAAACCTGTGGGGAAAGCGAATGAAGTGAGTTGTTTTATTGTCGAAGATGTGGTTCAGTTGGAGAAAATACACAAACTAAACGACAGGCACAATTATCTGTGAAACACTGCATTTTCCCATTTGTTGCTCTGCACCAAAAACCATGTACACATAGTTCTTTTGTTCTCACTGGTCTGACGAAACGGCAGCGATGAGTTTGAGAGAGCTAGTTTCAGGACTTTGCCACTCGTTTGTGGTATTAAGACCACGAGAAGAACAAAGCAGATAGTTTTGCAAGATTGGATAGACAGCAGAGCTCAACCTCAGTTTTATGTATTCCTGTTTTGTTACTTTCTTGTTCTACTTTCTTTCTTTTATTGTCCTCAAGCTTCCAGTGGAATGTGTCCATTTTTTCCACTCATCATTCGCAGATTTTTATACAACGATTCTTCCAAAAAATTACTAGCCGTTATTATTACCAGTTAATTTGCACTTTGCACGAAATCGTGAAACCCTGTAACAAGAGTATTAATTACTCGATGCAGTTTTAGTCTGCCTATGGTTTCAATTACCAATTTGTGCTCCACGGAACCAGGAAAACATATGCATGCGAACAAGGGCACATCTTTTACATTTTGGGAATACATAACCCTGCGTGACAACTCTGGATAACAAATAAATTAGCTTGGTCACGTCCTTCCGTGTGTCGGCTGATCAATATACTGCTGCTGCTAATGAAGTCCACCGAATAAATTGTGAACCACGCCCTTGGAAAACGTTCACGTACATTTTCATACTGCGGGTTCAATAATTGATTTATTTATGTCACGCAAATTCATAAAACATGCAACTCATTCGCAGCTTACTATTTTGGAATGATAAATACTTATTCTTCAGAATTGATTCCGGACAAGTCATACCGACTCGAGTGCCCTAAATCATCCGTCAAATCTGTAGAAATCTCGGTAATGCAATGCTTTAATTGAGCACGTAATTTGCAACTATACGTATAATCATGCCAGTTGCAAAACTATAGGTTCCTCTCATCACGCTTGTTAGAAGTAATCGATGGAGAAAGTTTTGCTGACAGGAATCGTGTAGTTGAAGCGTAACACGGAATGACATAGGGAAAAAGTTTTCTAATTATCCCGTCCAAATAATTGATTCGATTGGATTATCAGTTTTGCCATTAATATATTTACGAAAGTGATGAAGCCACTTTTGGTCTCGGAGCAAAAATCTTATCAGCGCAGAAAAATAAATTTTGATTCTACGTATATTCCAACTTTGGCGAAATTAACATTCACGATGTGTGTGCTGAAATCGCAAATACTAAAGAAACATGTACATAAATAATCCTCAGAAAAAATTATGCGGAAATTCCAGCTTCACGTTTTACATACGTAGCGTACAAGGACAAATTTGTTGGAATAATTTTTCAATTTAATTTTCATGCGGTGCAGTATTTTCTTTGTAATCCTTGACAATGTCGAAATATTTGTGTCCAAAAATGAATATTTTAATATCGTAAATATTTCAGTTTTCTTGAACAATTTGTTCCCAGACACGCCTCCTGCATCAAAAAAATAGTAAATGCGTGACATTATTTTTCAATTGAGACAATATTCAAGTATTGTACTACACTTTTCTCTCGAGCAGGAGATTATGTCTCACGTCCTCAATTTATTGCAGTGCATGCCCCAATACTCAAGGACTGGCATTTATGCATGGTCAATAAATCACCTGACCTGTCAACTAAACACCACTACGAGCTCAATTGCAGCCCAACCCCCATAAAAGAATGAATTTAGAGCCAGACTGGGTCACGAAATATCTTTATCCAGCTACATACATGCACGAAAAGCAAAAGCGGAAAGAGAAATGTATGGAAATCAGAGTGAAAGTGCCCACAGAATACAAGAAGCCATTCAGTCGGGATATTTAGGTATGCTAAGAGGGCTCAGAAACATGTTTATGAATTTAATATCTGGAAATTTATATGGAAAAAAGTAGCCAGATTTTATTTTTCAACCTTCACATGCTTTCATGTTTTCCACTATTGAACACGTGTTTGTGAATGATCCCCAGTAATCGACCACGTCCCACGATTTTTTTCGTGGATAGGCGTCTACCTGTTGTTCAGTTCCGGTCAGAACACGTACAATCTTAACCTTCTTGGTCCTTCGCAGAAATTCTAAGAACGAATTGCATAATGGGACTTTTGTGCTGTGGAGCATACCACAGCTGCCTTATTTATTTATTTAGACGTCTATAAGCGTTCCATTTGTGCTTGACCTTCATCACTGTTTTCAGAATAAAACGACTAGTCTTACCACATACTTTACCTGCACATCGACTGCCTGCATAATGGCATTTTTCGGCTGATAAAAATGGCATCTTGAGGCGCGTTCAAAAATATTGCCTAGACATGTTTACATGTAGATAATCGTGATGCATATGTAGAAACGTGAAACTGATAACTCGGTCATTTCTTAACCCATCGAATCCTATTAATGCATAATATGTAAGTCCTTGACAATTTTAACAAATAATTAGCTATAGTTCAACAGGTGTTATGATTGACACGTTTAAATTTACATAAGTCACAGTTCATTTGTCGTAAGTGCCTTTCAGATAGCGATCCATACTCTAACTTACAAAAGGATGCTATCATTTAAAGTCACCGAAAAATCATAATTTAAAAATAAGGGTGGGAATGAGCAATTTGTTGACTTTTTTTACATTCATTTACATCATATAAGAAAAAAGAGTGTATGTGTATAGTTAATGAGAATTTAGGACTCCAGAGGTGATACATACATATGTGCATTTTTTAGTAGACATCGAATGGCAAATGCAATTTATTATTGGAGCAGATCGACAATCGTAAGAAAATATAATTTTAAAATATATAATACTTTCACCACCAAACTGAAAATATAAAAAATTAAATAGGAAAACAGACTCGAG